GTTTTAGATCCTCTGGGCCTAGAGTTACAGATAAAGGCCACAGGCCCTTTGATGTGGGTGTTAGGAGCCAAACTCAGGTCCTCTGGAATAGCAGTGAGTGCTCCGAACCACTGAGCTGCCTCTTCAGCCATTTGGGAAGACATTTAATGAGCCACACTTTCTATCCATTTTTGGTATTTCAGTTCTATTATAGCAACATTGTTTCATATGTGTATTTTATTTTTATTTATGTAGTTATCTTTCGAGGTACTAGGGATTGAACTTGAGGCCTTCAAGATATTAGGCAAGGACACTGCTAAGTGATGTACTCAGCCTTGCTCATGTGTTTTGCTAAAAGTTGCTCTAAGTTGGTTTTCATATCATATAGAGGATTATCTCTAGTAGGTCAATTTAAATTATAGCAAATTTATACTAAAATTTTGAGGCCTTGCTTCATAAATAATCTAAAAGTAATTTGTAAGACGTGGGCATCGTGTATTCTGTATCCTCTTCTACCTTCTTACATAATATCACTACTGACTAAACAAGTATGTTTTAATGAAATATTCTAGTGATAGTAATTAATGCTGAATATGTAAATTTCACAGCTGTCAAGCCTTTGACTGCCCTGGGTTTATTTTTTCCTTGGCCACTTCCAACAAAGGTATACTTTTCTTTTTGTTACATAGCTAAATGATGAGACTTTTTTTAAAAAATGGTTTTTATTTCTTTTGTTTTCACCTGAGTTTTTCATCACTTAAAAAAGGTGTACCCTCCTTCTCCCCCCACACCATAACTAGTCACATAAGCTCAATGAAAGCTTTCTTTTTTTTTTTCTTTTCTTTTCTTTTATTTTTTTCTTATCAGTTACATTTTATTAACTCTGTTTCCTAGCTGTATCCCGCTCCCTCATTCCCTCCCAATCCCACCCTCCCTCCCTCATCTCCACCCTGCCCCTTTCCAAGTCCACTGATGGGGGGACCTCCTCCCCATTCAGCTGACCCCGTTTTATCAGATATCTTCAGGACTGGCTGCAAAGTCCTCCTCTGTGCCCTGATAGCTTGCTTTCTATTCTGGAACACAGTTCATGAAAAATTGGGCAAATTGGTGAAGAGATTGGTCTAGAAAAGGAGAAGGCCTGATGGATGTAGTGGAAGAAAATGCTGAGGAATAGGAGGAATTTTACCTGTGGAATTCCAAGAGGCAGTCAAAGAGCTGTTTTGCATTTTTGGAGAGCTGTTGTGGATAAGAGTGACTAGTAATCTTTGTGTGTGGATAAGAGTGACTAGTAATCTATGTGTGTTCACGCACACACATAGCCTCGAGGGTAACACTTGGACAGCCTGTTGTTGGCATAATTTGAAGTTGCTTCCAGTAGTATATTTTCTAGCTCTGCAGGAACACTGCCTGGAATTCAAGGCAGCCCAAACAGCATGGAAGTTAGAGATGCAGAGTTAAACGTTTGTTCGCACTTTCCCCTTCCTGTCTTACCTGCTTATTCCAGACACAAATCACCTTCCTTTTCTAGGTGAAGCGACATTGTAAATCTCTTACTGTTTTCATGTACTTGAAGTGAAAGTAGATTTCTTACATTTGTATTAAGTTGGGTGATTGGGAAGAAATTTCTAGTGTTACCTTCCCCCATGGGCTGTAGAAACATGTCTTTAGTGTGAAACTACAACAGTAGGAACTTTGAACCATAATAACTGAGACAATAATGTGTTTTGTGATCTCACTAGAATCTTGGTGTCTATGTGTGCTCTGTGCACACTGGTGTATCTTTTTCCTGCGATTTTTTTTAATAGCATGATTTAGAGAGGTTCTATTTTACTGATATTACACACAGCAGAGTATTAAAAATTTTATTAGCTGTTCAGTATTAAAGAGTTTTATCAGCTGTGCAGGATGGCACACACCTTTAATCCCAGCACTTGGGAGGTAGAGGCAGGCTGATCTTTGTGAGTTCAAAGCGAGCCTGGTCTACAGAGTGAGTTCCAGGACAGCCAGGGTACAGAGAAACCCTGTCTTAAACAAACAAACAAACAAACAAACAAACAAAGAACAGCAAAAATAATTATTGTCATAATATATAGTAAATATGCTAAGGAAAAATTTTTTTTCATTTAAAATTTTGCTTGAGACAGGGTCTTATCTCACACTGTAATCCAGTTTGACCTCTAACTCATGAAGTACTGTCTTAGATTCTCATATAGCATAGGCAGGAGCCACAAACCCAGGGCCATTTTTACTTAAAAAAAAATTATGTATGTGTGTGTGTCTATGTGAGTATATGCCACATGTATATGGGTGTTGTTTTGTCCAGAAAAGTGCTGGATGCCCTGTGGCTGGAGTTAGCGGCAACTGTGAGCCTCCCATGGGTGCCTGGAACTGAATTTTGGTTCTCTGGAAGATCAGGAAGCATATTTAACTGTCGAGCCGTCTCTTCAGCCTCTATTTTTCACTTATTTTAAGGACGTTTGTTAGGTCATAATTCATTCCCCATGACCAAAATCTCTAAGAAGGATAGGAAAGGCAATGCAAAATCATTTTAGAAAACAACAGGTGGTATCCCATTAAACCCGGCCCCTCTGAAAGTATTTTGTGGATCTCCCGAGACTGAAATTACAGTCACGTGATGGCTAGGTGACTTAGGCCTGAATTCCTGGAAGGAGGATGAGGAGTTTGTTGTCTTCCTTGTCTATATTTGGAGTTCCAGGCCAGATGGAGTTCCAGATGGAGACCCATCTCAAACAAAACAAAACAAAACAAAAACAAACAAAACAAACAAACAAAACCAAAAAACAACCAAAGAACAAGCAAAGGCCTGTGAGAGGGCTCAGTGGGTAAAGATGTTTGCCCCCAAGCCTGAGGACCTGAGTTCCAGCCCTGCTCTGTGGGAGCAGTAAAAAGCTGTTGCCATTACTAATAAGCACAAGAGACCACATACGGCTCCAACTTTCTTTTTTAACTGCACTTTATAAAAGATAATATTCAGATGAAAAATTCTCTACAAGAATTTTAAAACCACAAGCTTTAGAAATGGGTTGAACTGGGTTTACTTTAGTTTTTAGACAAAAGGGCAGAGCCTGTTAAGATTGGTGTACTTTGTTTTTCGTATCTTTCATACAAAAAAACTATCAATTACATTTATTTCAACAAAATAACTCGAGCTGTTCAATATAGTAAGACCAGGATTTGGAAGAATAAAGGTAACACTCAAGGCTTAAGATAGCTTTGCTGCTTCTTCTTCTTCTTTTTTTTTCCCTGATTTTTTGAGACAGGGTTTCTCTTCATAGTCCTGGCTGTCCTGGAACTCACTGTGCAGGCCAGACCCAGAGATCCACCTGCCTCTGCCTTCCAAGCGCTGGGATCAAAGGCATGTGCCACCACTGTCTGGCTATTTTAAAGATGTTTTTTTTTTTTTTTCTTCTTCCTCTTCTTTTTAATTTTTTTTTTTTTCTTTTTGAGAAGTCTTTGCTCTTTACTCTAGCAGCATGACTCTTAGAATACGTAACAGACTTCAAAAAGGTTCAAGGCTCATTACAACTCTCAGGACTTTTACAGCTTTAAAATCCTTTTCCTTTTCTGCCACTAGTCCCGTGCCCCACGTATGAAAAGAAGGCTCTAGTGACTCCTCCGGCTTTCCATGTATGTGGCTAAGGGATTTCCTTCTAAATGTAAGGAGATATGTTTTAAGTATCTCATCAAGGATGTGTTTGGGTAGAATCGCCATAGAGACGGTCTGAATAATTTTTCTGTATATCAATAGTTTTACGCTTGTTTAGCTTTCTGGAAAGCCAGCAAAAAGCTGGCTAATGGCCAAAGAACCATGAGTTGAGTCGCTGTTGTCAGTGCTCCAAGTCGCTTCAGTTGGCTCTTCGCTCGAGCGCCCCCTCTCCCTAGATGTCATCTAGGAACCAAAGGCTTGTACAAATCCCTGTTCCAGGAGAAAACACGCAGAGCGCATGCTCTGATGATAGTGGCTCAGTAGCGCCATTTTCGTAAGGGGAAGGGCTGACCATTAATTACATCCGTAGGGAGCACTGAAGTTGTTCAAACTGGATCAGAGCGTTGCAGAACGAGTCCAGGAGGGATCCTGGAGAGGAACCTTTGTCCTCCTTACAGCACTCCAGCTGAGGCGAAAGAAATTATTTTCTGTTCATTTCTCTTGTGGACAAGTGGTTCTTTCCTTCTTCTCTCTTCGCCCAGGATTGCCTACAGTCCTAGGCTAGAGCCTTAGACTTCTGGTATGATTTTGCATTCACACCGGTGGCCAAAATGACAGGAATTGGAGAACTGGATGGGATTTTTTTTTTTTACCCTGAAAAACAGAGCCAAAGCAAGAACTTAGTCCTGTGTTTAGAGGTTAGTCCGTGTACTCCTGAGCTAGGAGGTAGCGCTTCTTTTGAAATAAACAAGCAGATCGCGTTAGTGTTGGGAATAGGGGTTGGTGGAAAGATAGCTAGCGGTAGGACCCGACACGGAGAAGGTCTGAGGATTTTCAGTGTGTATGTGTGTGTGTGTTCGCGCGCCCAGGAGTTTAGAAGAAACTCAGTTGAGTGGAGCAGGAGAGAAAGCGCTTGAAGAGAGACAAGAAAAATCTGGTGTGGAAGAAGAGTTAGCGAACGCAGGAAGGGTAGTGGAGACCGAGCATCCCCTGCAGCAGCTTCCAGGAAGACATCCACTCCTCTCTGCCCATCTTTTTCATTCATAAGTTTCTGGCCCCGCCTGACATCCCCCACCCCCACCCTGGCTGAGGGCCAAGTTTCTTGTGTAGCAATTGGTGAAAGGCAACAAAGCCTTAGCAACGGGCTCCTAGTGACCCGCGGGGCGCCTGGTAACTGGGGCCTGAGGCCCGCGCAGAGAAAGGAGCCGAGCTGTCCCTTTAAGGGATGGCCATGGAGCCCTGAAAGTAGAAAGGAACGAGGGAGGGCGGGGAGGCAGGTCTGGGGGCGGACCTAAGAGCAGGAGGAGGAGGAGGAGAGGGAGGAAGAGTTGCTGCTGAAAGGAGGTGGCGAAGGAGGAGTCTGAGCAGCTGCTGCTAGCCCGGCGGGCACCACCGGAGTCCTGCCCGCTGCCGCACGAGTGGCCACGGGCGCGATCCGGGCCAAACGTCTTGTCCTCCATGATCTCTCTGGGAGCCGGGGGAAGACTTTGCCCGGCTGTGCGAGCTGGTGTGCGTTGTCCAAGCTTGGCGGAAACGGTGCAGCGCGAGCAAAAGGAGCTGCATCTGGATCAGCAGCAGCAGCAGCAGCAGCAGCAGCCGCCGCCGCCGCCGCCGCAGAGTCCTGAAAGCAGAGGCTACAGCCCGGGGCGTGTGCGTCCCGCGCCTGGCGGGTTCGGTTCCCCACGGAATGTCCCCGGGGCGCCCCGCGCGCTGACCCTGCAGCCGCCTCCGCCTTGGGCGCCCGCCTGCTCCCTCAGGCGGGCTCGGTGATCCGGACCGCGAGCTTCCCAGCTTCTGGGCAGTGGGGGAAGCCCCCCGGGGGCGGGTGACCTCAGCTGGCTACGACCCAGTCCTCCCCCGTGCGGATCTCACTTAAGATGGCAGCGGAGTCAGGGGAACTAATCGGGGCTTGCGAGTTCATGAAAGGTGAGGAGCAGCCGCCCGACCTCCTCCGGCCCTTCCACGCCACTCCCCCCGAACTCCTCCCGGCTCTCCCCTTTGTCCCAAGTCTCTGCCCCGGGTCTCCCCTCCCGGCCCGGGGTCCCGCTGCTGCTGCTTTCCACTGCCCCGGCCCCTTCTTGCCACTCAGCTCCCCGAGGACCCCTTGCTTCCGGCTTCTTTCTCGCGTCCTCGCTCCCTCCGCAGCTCGCTCGTACCCGGACAGTGCGGGCTTCTCTGTCTGGGCTCCCCCTCCAATCCTCCCTCGGGGCATTCTGCTCGCTCTAATCCTCTGTCTGCTAACCCTCCACCCCTCGGTGTCTGCCCTGTGTTTTCGGGACACCCCCCACCCCCATCACCACACCCCCCCCCCGTCCTTCCTTCCTCTTGAAGCCTGCTAAACTGCAGGGGAAGAAGCTCGCCTCTCTTCCCGTTCCGCAGCAGCAGCCGCAGCCGCTGAGGTCTGGAGGTTTCCGAACCAAACTTGTGTCTCCAGTTTTGCGGGTACCCACAGACTCCTGTCTGTGCCCGCCCGCCCGCACGCACGCCACCAAAGGGGAGAGGGAACTCCGAAGGCGCTCTGCCCCCTGCTGGGTCCAGTTCCAGCCTCTTGGCAAGTGGTGCTTTGGGGGCTCTGTAGCTTTGTGGAAGATCTTGTTTCTGCAAGAATCCCACGTGTTAAAGGGGCTTTAAACGGGGTGTAGCAGTTATCAGCCCTTCGTGTGTGATCCGCGCAATCCAGCCTCACTTCCCCGCTTCTCATGTTTTCTTCTGTCTTTTAAACTTGTCTTTCAGATCGATTATATTTTGCTACTTTAAGGAATAGACCAAAAAGCACAGTAAATACCCACTATTTCTCCATCGATGAGGAGCTGGTCTATGAAAAGTAAGTTTCCCTTTTTTTTTTTTTTTTTTTAACACTCCTCCCCCCTCCCCCCTAACTGTTTAGCTTGTTGGCTTGATAAGTAGGGGTTTATTCACTTTCCCCCAAGAGTTCAGGGGACGTTACTAGGCTTGGAGAGGGGTGCAGACAAGATTTACATAGTTTGGACCTGTCAACATTGCTGTCCTTTTAGAATTCCGTGGATGTTAATTCTTCGTACTCCCACAGCAGCTGTGGATTCCTCACACTCCCCAGAGTAGGGCCAGGCCGTCCTCCAGTGTCACCACCAGACCTGTAATTGGCCTGTGAATCATCACTAGGTACTAATGGATCACCCACAGGGTACAGGGCAGTGTGTGCCACAGGTGCTCAAGCTTTGCAGTGCACAAGGCTTTGGTTGTACCGAAGGATTGTTTGTTTGTTTGTTTGTGCAGCGTGTTTTCAGAAAGTGGGACACAGGATTGCAGGCAACTGCATCCACGTTACACCTACGAGGAAGATTTCTGGTGTGATTGAGCTATCTTAATTTGGTGCCTTGACTTGATGCTATTAACTTTTTTCCACATTTGAGTAGTAGAGGATTTTTTTTTTTTTTTTTTCCTTGAGGGATTAGGACCTGAGAGTGAAAAATCAGAACCAGGAACTGAGTTTTGTGAAAGGCCGTGGATGTAAAGGAAAAGGTTATTTGAATATTTTAAGCACAGTAAAACATTAATTGGAGAGATACATTTCCATTGGATGAAAGCAGTAGATAGTAAGGAACAGAAAGGCAGGCAGGATTGACTTATGTCCTTCTACTAATAGAGATGGTATTTCCGATGCCTCATATATTATAATCTAGACTTTTAATTTTATTTTGTTGCCATCATAATCAAGTGGGCAGTCAAATGAGCCTAGTTAAACGAACCATAAAAAGCTTTCTAGGGTTTGCCCTGTTGGAAGGAATATTAGTAATTCTGTTGGAAGGAATATTAGTAATTCTGCTTCGGGATTTATGAGTACCAAATGGGCCTTGGAAGAGGGAGTATTCTGGACCTTCAAGAGCCTATATTTTATCTGACAGAAAAGAATTCTTAATTGTTGTTTCGTCCTAGGGGTCTTTGAACTGATGTCTTCAGGACATTTCTCCTAGTCGTTTGGGGAGTAAGATGCTCCTTGAATGGCTTAAAGGGAGAGTGGCCATGAAAGAGCCCTTTGCTGCTATTCACAAGCACCTAGAGCTGCTGAGCAAAAGAGGTCTAAATCCCTGGTGTCAGATCTCAGCTCTGCTCCTAGACAGAAAGGAGTTATAAGCAGCCTGTTCCCTGACCCTGTGCACCTGGATGACGTCACCACCATGAGTGTTTATTGAGTGGACACTCTATTGTTGGGCACTGTCATGGCTTTCTTTCTGTGAGCTGAGGGCCTAGGGCCCTCTTGTGTGCCTGAGGGTAGGGACTGTGTGTATATGCTATTATGTTCACTTCTGCAGTGTCTAGAGAGCCAGGGTTTATTAATATACATTTGGACAAGCCCCAGTTATTGAGGTCTGAATCGCTTCCCTTGGGATGGTTAGATGGTAGATCTAGGAAAGGGAAGAAAAGCTATAGTTAATCAACTAAACACACTACACAATGCTGTTTTAAAAATAATGAAAGTTTCATGTGATTTAATGTTTGTCCTTTAGGATACAAATTATGTGCCTTTTGTACATATTTTTTCACCATGCTCCTGGTGTCTTCCAAGGACAGACTTGCTAGAAAGGCCATCTGGTTCACTTTGTGAGTTTGAATATGAACTTTGAAACTGCAAGAAGCTGAGCATGATGGTACACCCTTTTAATTTTAGCATGAGGGGAGCAAAGGTAGAGGCAGTTGGATCTCTGTGAGTTTGAGGGCAGCCTGGTCTATACAGAGTGTTCCAGTCAGAGCTACATAGCAAAACCTTTTCTCAAGGGGGAAGAAAAATCTGGACATGGTGGCTCAAACCTGAATCACTTGAGTAACTGAGGCAGGAGGATTGCTTGGAGGTGGGGGTGAGTCAGAGTTACATAGTGACTTGCAAGCCAGCTTAGGCTATAGAGTGAGATGAAGAATGATAAAGACTCAGCCTGAACAGAGCATGTACTGCCCCAGTGTGATGGACTACAGCATGCCTCAGTAGTGACTGTGTTTGCCCTGATTACCTGCACAAACCCATCTTTTCGTTGTCCCAGCATATCGCTCTGTGCTTGATGGTGCAGAGAGTCTTGATGAAGTTGCACGTGTCTTTCAAGGTTTCAAGAAACTCCAAACCAATAAGATGGATGACTAAGAGAACTGAAATTAGAGGGAACAAAAGCGCCCTGGGGGAAACCTCCCCTCTCTACTAGGAAGTACATGTAGAGGGATGGCGATATGTCCAGCTGACATGTTCGTAAAAGGCTCTGAGGTGGTGTTAAGGTTGTCTTGAAGGATGGACAGGTTTTCTTTTTGGATGTGGGTGTGAGAGGGAAGAAAAGTGAGGAGTAGGAGGGAGGCTCATGAAGTGTGCTCGGCTCACAGGAAGTCCTCCGCTTTGCCTGGTGTGTACAGTTCACATGGGGGAGGTGTGGAACATGACACTGAGAGGTCAGTTGGGGACAGACTGAATGCCAGAGTGAGGAACCTGCAGTTACCCTGGCATGCTTTCAGACTCTTAGAAGGGCCCTGGGACGGAAATGGCATGGCTAGATTCATGATAATGGCAAATAACTTGGACATTTGCAGAGCATTGGCCTCGGTGCTGGACATTCTGTGACTGCTGATTCACTTTCCCCCACCATTCTGCAAGGCAAGCATTACTGCCATCCTGTGGTTCAGTGAGGGCAATAGGGATGGAGGGGTTAGGTACTCTGCCTAGTGTCACTGAAATAAGTAACAGAGCTGGAATTTGAAAACATACTATCTAGCTCCTGAGAATATACATCCTCCATCCAACCCCCCCAAAAAAAACCCAAAACCAAAAAAACAAAACAAAACAACAACAACAAAAACCAATGTGAAAGCATCATTTCAGGCTCATTGGAGAGGTTATAAGAAACCATGCAGAATGACTTTGGGATGTTCAGGGGGAAAGAATAAATGCCTGAATTGAGATGGTGTCAATGATGATGGAAAGGTGGGATCTGAATCCATGTGTGGGTTGTTGATGAGGCTGCAAGCAGTTCTTGGGAGAGTCCCTTCACAGTGGGCCTGAGGGCATTGTGAACTGAAACACAGAAATAGGACTGATGGTTGACTTTGGTAGGAAGATTAGGCATTCTGTCTTGATCAGGATGAATCTGAGAAATGTAAGGAATAGTCACAGCTGGGTGTGGTGGCCCTCTGTGAGTGAGTTCAAGGCCACCCAGGCCTCACACAGAGTAGCTCTGTCTTGGAATATATATATATATATATATATATATATATCCTCTCTCTCTCTCTCTCTCTCTCTATATATATATATATATATATATATATAATATATATATATATTATATATATATGTATAGGTTATATACATATATACATCCCTCTAGATGTGACTATCCTTATTTAATTTTATTGTTTTGACTAGGCTGGCCTTGAACTCACAGAGGTTCTATTGCCTCTGCCTCCCAATTGCTGGGATTAAAGATATGCATCACCATTCCCAGCTTTGAGATACTTAAAGTTGGGGGTGGGGTCTTCCTGAGGAGATGATGCAGTTTACAAAATGAAGCTGTTTCTGAGCAGGGCTAGGGGAGTAAAGGAAGGAGCTATAAATAATTAGCCAATCAGGAGCCAAAAAACTTTCCACTTCTTGGAAATATAGAATGAAACAGCCTACATCGTCCCTGGGATGGTGTAGTAACTGGGATTCTATCTGTTGAGCGTGGCCCTGAGGACAGACACCCTAATGTGCATGTCTCTAAAGTAGGGAGTGTGTTTATATACATTGTCACACAGGGCCTCATACAGCCTGGGAGCTATAATTATTGGCTGAGTGTCCAAGTGAAATGTTTCCTTTCTGAGTAAATTATCACCTCAGACACAATTAACCAGGCTCTTTAAATATGAGAGTATGTTTAGTCTGGATACAGCTGTGTTTTGTGCAGAAGTTTGTTGAGTTATTAAAGGATGGTAGAGCTCTATGATTGAAATAATGACCTCCTGTGGAACAAATTTAGCAAAATGGCCTCATGAGATTTCTTTTCTTTTCTTTTCTTTTTTCTTTTCTTTTCTTTTCCTTTTCTTTTTTTTCTTTCCTTTCCTTTCCTTTTCCCTCCCTCCCTCCCTCCCTTCCTTCCTTCCTTCCTTCCTTCCTTCCTTCCTTCCTTTCTTTCTTTCCTTTTTCTTTTTTCAAAACAGGTTCTCACTATGTAGTGCTGACTGTCCTGGAACTAGGCTGGAACTGAACTTACAGAGATCTACCTGCCTCTTCCTCCTGAGTGCTGGGATTACTATACCCAGCTGAGACTGAAAATTTGAACATACTTTCTTTTTCTCTTTCTCTGTCTCTGTCTTTTCTCTCTCTCATGTATCCCTAGCTGGCCTTGAACTCACAGAGACCTGCCTGCTTCTGTCTTTGTCTCCTGAGTATTGGCATTACAGACTTGCACTACCATGCCTAGATTTTACTTGATTTTTTAAAAAAATATTTATTTATTTACTATGTATACAATGTTTTCTCTGTATGTACCAGATCTTATTATAGATGGCTGTGAGCCACCTATGGTTGCTGGGAATTGAACTCAGGACCTCTGGAAGAGCAGACAGTGCTCCTAACCTCTGAGTCATCTCTCCCACCCTTTACTTGATTCTTGACAGAACTTTTTGCATGATAGTCTAAGACAATTTAATAAAACATAGATGATAAGAGATCATAGTTTGAGTTCCAGAACAGCCAGAGCTTCATAGAGAAAGTAGCTCGAAAAACAAGAAAAGAAATTATACTTTGGGTTATGCGTGTTTTCGTAAGCCAGAGTTAAAACAAGAGTATAAGCTAAAATACTAGTGATTCAAAAAGTAGT